TTCCAAAACTCATTTCCATGACAAAACTCTTGGGAAGAGAAGATGAAGGCCTGGCTTTTGCAGAACAATCTTCCAGCTGTAATGAGGACTGAAGATGGCAATGGGAAAAGGAATTATAATTAGAATATGAAATGGGGAAAATTAATCTATTCCAGTCACTGGTAAGAGGATGTTCTCCTGGCGTTCATGGAAATTCTTAAGCTGTTGTTTCTCCCTACATTTTTTTCCCTCACATTTTAAAGCACAGGGGAGGCTGTGTGGTGTGAAAAAAGACTTTTGACTAAGAAACTGATAAATTGTGAAATATGCGTTGAATTTAAGTTCATGTGCATCTTTGCTTCGTATGTCTTTCTATGCACACGCAGTGTTTGTGTTCACATTGATGTGAGTTACATTTAAGTGGCTGCAGATGCATGGCATATTTATACACATATGTACACACCCTGCTTTCTTCTGTGTGCCTGCTGGGGTTATTGTGTACCCAGTCGTAGAAGGGTCTGTGATATGGGCACACTCATGCTTGTGCTGTGTGTGCATTGGTTTGTGTTATCCATGGACGTGGTACATGGGTGAGTTGAACGCTTCCGTGTTGAAGGCTGTGCTTATATGACATGGGTCCACACAAATGTGGGCTTGTGGTGTATGTGTGTGCTGCCCACGCTGTGCACATGGTGTGCATCATATGCCTTTGTTCACACTCAGTGTATGCACTGCAGTGGGTGTAGATGTGGGTGTTTTTGATCTTGTCTGTGCACATGTGGAGGAGATAGCCCTGCTGTGTCTGAGGGCAGAGGTGACTTTGTGACCTCTCCCCTTGGCTTCCAAGTTCATCTATCCAGAAAGGGTCCCAAATGAGTAGGGACTGAGGGGATAAGCCCCTGGCCCCAGAGCCCAGCAGCCGAGCCAGGGGGAGCCTTAGAACCCTCAGTGTCCCCCAACTACTCCTCTGTTCCCTCCAATGGTTCCAGTGTGGTGGAACCCTGGCAGAGGTGGGCAGAGAACAGGCCTCCTCGCCTCCTCAGGGCCTCTGCACATGGCTGCTTGGCAGCTGGTCCTGAGCCCAGCAGGCTCCAGGGCACCATGCAAGGTGCCCAGGGGTAACTGAACCGAGGGGACCCAGACCCTGCCTCGGGAACCTCTGCCAACTTCTCAAGTGCCCTTTGAAAGCCAGAAGCAAGCTTTACTCCAGCACGTGGCAGCTCTTTCTTAGACACTGGTTGAATAAAGGAGTGAATGAATAAGACAGTCTCTGATGACCTCATGGGACCCCACTGCCCTCCCCCTCGCCTGCCCCTAACATACTCGTATTGGAGACCAGGCCCCCTTGCCCTACCTCTCCAGCGCCATTCCCACCGCTCTCTGTGGATAATTCCTCTTTCTCCTGAACCTCTAACACACTTACCAGGCACCTGTTACCCGCAGGCCCCAGGCAGACTATTGCTGATACAGTAGGATCTAGAAAAGCACTGGTGCCTGCTGTGAATGCACTTGCAGCTAGTGGGGCAGACCAAGCAGAAGCAATCCAACAAGGGACTTCTAAATCCCATCTCTCCCCAGCTGTGTGATCTTGGACCCCTGCTTACCCGCTCTCCACCGGTTTCCTTGGTCTTAGCAGGGAAAAGGATACTTTCTTCATTGGGTCATTGTGAGGATTAAATGAGGTCTTTTATGTAAAGCATTTTGCTCAGTGCCAGGAATATTCAGTCACCAAATATTTATTGGTTGCCTACTGCACATATCAGGGAATGAAGCAGATGGTGGCCGGGGCCTTGTGGTGGCTCTATTCTCACCAGCATTTGATAAATGGTGACCATTCAAAGGTTTTTTGGACATCTTTCCATGTGTTTCTTATGCATGTTCCTATACCATACTGTTCGATTACTATTGCTTTATAAATTGTTTCAGACACTTCACTAAACTTGATGCTCGTCCATTTCCAATTATTCTTTCTATCCGGGTCTACTTAAAAGTTACGTGGCTGGGCGCGGTGGCTCATGCCTATAATCCCAGCACTTTGGGAGGCCGAGGCGGGTGGATCACGAGGTCAAGAGATCGAGACCATCCTGGTCAACATGGTGAAACCCTGTCTCTACTAAAAATACAAAAATTAGCTGGGCATGGTGGCGCGTGCCTGTAGTCCCAGCTATTCCGGAGGCTGAGGCAGGAGAATTGCTTCAACCCAGGAGGTGGAGGTTGCGGTCAGCCGAGATTGTGCCATTGCATTCCAGCCTGGGTAACAAGAGCGAAACTCCGTCTCGAAAAAAGAAAAAAAAAAAAAGTTACGTGTGGTTTATTAAAAGTTTTACTTTTGTCAAAATAACCAATGACCATGGTCACACATCGAGTCAAGTAGCCAGGAGCTTTTGCTGAAAGCTTCCCTACCGTGCCCAATTTATAGCCCCATCCCTAATGTCAGCCTCTGCCAGGCTCTGGGAGATTTGGAGATGACCAGGACACAGTTCCAGCCTCCATGTTGCACCCACTCTGGGACAGATGACAAATGTGGAGATAGTTTATTCTGTAAGAGGAACAGCCAGAGGAGATGAGAGCATGGCAGGCCTCCTGGAGGAGGCAGCCTCTGAGCAGGGTCTTGCAGCATGAGCTCTGGATGCAGTGTGGTAGGTGGAGTCCTGCATTTGGGATCAGTGCCCAAAGTCTAGGCATGGAATAGCCTTGTCTTTTAATCATCCAGCAGTCACTGGGGCACTCTCCCTGTCCCTGTTCTGGGGAAGCTCTTTGGTGCAACCATCAACCCAACTGCCTAGATGGGAAGATAGGCCTGGTCAGAGGCAATCTGAACGTGGTAGTGGCTGCTTTATTTACTTATTTCACAAACATGTATTGAGTACCTTCTCTGTGCCAGGCACTGTTCTAGGAGCTTAGGAGGCATCAAGGTACAGATAGACGAAGGTCCCTGGTTCCTGGGAGCCTCCATTTTAGTAGGAGGACTCTAACTGTAAGCAATGAATATAGTAAATGTAGAGAATGCTAGAAGGTAACAGTGGCTATGGAAGAAAGAGGGCATCAGGAATGCTGGTAGAAAGGGTGGCGGGCTCTCAGCCCACAAGGGCTGGGGACTGGCGTCTGAGCCAGTTGTCAGGCACAGCTTCTCTGAGTGAAAGGGGCTGGGTAAACTGACATTCACATGGTTACGGCGTGTGGATTTCTACGGCCTCTGTGAGGGCCCTGGGTGATGTCTGTCTAAATTTCAAATGTACATACAGTTGGACCCAGCAATTATACACATAAATCCTATAGATAAACTCACACCCATGCTCAATGTCAGATGCGCAAAAATATTTATGGGAGCAATATCGGGATAGCAAAAGACCAGCAACGATGCAACTACCCATGTGCTCAGCTAAAAATATGTGTTATATCCATACTGTGGAATCCTAGGTACAGAAGAAAGAATTATGTTCCGATAGAAAACATTTTCTAAGATGTGTTGCTAAGAGAAAAAGAAAGTGCAGAACGGTACAGCCTGCTGTCATGAATAGAACAAATGACTCCAAAATGTGTGTATGTAGACGGTCTTTGAAAGGATATAAAAAGCTGTTAGACATTGCCTCTGGAGAAGGACAGCGGATGGCTGGATGTGGGGTAGCATTGCTTTTTGTATTCTTGCAATTTTGAGCTATGTGAATATATCTGAACACAGAAATGGTTCAATGAAAATGAATGGCTGTTTGCTATTGGTGCCCCGCCCAGAACCCTTTACTGACCAGCACAGACGTCTCCCGTCTGTCTTGAGCACGGGCTGGCTGCACATGGCTCACAGCCAGTACAGTTCTCTGAGGAATCGTCCTTGGACAATTGGGGACCCCTTGCTCAGAAGGTTATGCCTCCCCATGTCCCCTAAGGGTAGCCCATGGCCAGTGACTTCCTAACCTGGGCTACAGCAGCCTCTCTTTGCTTCGTGTTGGAACTAAAACTGCAGTGCAATTCATGCCCCAGAGCTCCCCACTGGAAGAGGCTGAGGGAAGTCTTCAGCCAAGACCACATCCTTGCTTAGCTGCATCCACTCCTGTCCAGCTTGCCTCCCAAGCTTACAGGTTATTCCCAAGAAGTACTTCCTTAATTACCACATGCATCTGAACCCTTGCCTCAGGCTCTGCTTCTAGGGAACCCTATCTAAGACACCTAGCTCAAGAGAAGGGAACTAACGAATTAAGTGCCCTCCATGGTAATATGTTGAGTTAAGTGCTCTACTGTGCAACATCCTATGAAGAGGGGCCTACAGGCATCATTCTCATTTAACAGATGAGGAATCTCAGAGGTTGAGATACCAGCTTGAGATCATACTTCAGGGCAAAGAGGGAGGCAGGGGTCCCAGAGCCCACACCTCTTCCCTGCACCTGCTCCTGAATTTTTAGGCCGATTTGAAGGGAACTCTTCCTGAATCCAGACTTGGCAGCTTCTCTGCACATGGGATGTAGTTCCTGTACATGTCTTTACCAGTCCTCACTGCCTGTGGCCAGGCATGGCCCTAGTGGCTGGGTGGCATAGGTGATGGGGCAAAACCACTCAGGATGGCAGACTCAGAGGGCATGTCTGGGGCAGGCTGTCTTGATCCCAAGGCTCTGGTGTTCTTGGCCTCCCCCAGCATGTGGGATTCCAGCTTTAGCTGGTCACCCGATATCATTTTGGTCAAGGGAGGTGTTTGCATACTTCCAAGGATGGGCAGCTCAGCGCCTGACAAGGCAGCCTGCTGTGTCTATGTACAAGGTATAGAGGGCAGAAAGATTTTCCTATATTCATTTTAAGTGTGTTTAACAGCGTGAACCTGAGCACTTGAGGGCCATGGAATAGGGGCTGCTCCTTCCACCCTAGAGGGAGCCCTGCTGAAATGGAGCCTTGGGCATCCTGGGCTCTGATTTGGCTTCTGTAGCCCCCACAGATCCCTGCATTCAGCCCCCTGGCCTCCTCTGGCTGCCCCTCCTGGTGCCTTCCTGAGAGTATTTTAATCAGAGCTGCTTCTCCCTCTCTCTCTGTTCTAGCTTGATGGTGACAGTGCCTACGTGGGGATGAGTGACGGAAACCCAGAGCTCCTGTCAACCAGCCAGGTGGGTGCCCCGTCCCCCCTGAATGGGGGTCTAAGCTCTGGGCTGGCTGGAGCCAAGCTGTTCCTGGGTGGAGGTGGGGGGTGCAGAGTGGGGCCAGCACAACCCACTACTGTCCTCTCTATGAATGATCAAGAATAGCAATTGAGTCTCCTCAAAAGGCACAGTCAAAGTGGGACTATCGTGTTGTCTGTAAATCAACTACCTGGCTACTGTTGGCTTAAAATGGACTGGGAACCTGATGAAACTTGAAATGTTTTACCCACACTCCCCATGCTTGGGGGAGCTTTGCAGCAGGAGGGAGGTGAGGTGCTTGCTGCTCCGTGCCTCTTGCCACTGCACAGCACCCATGGGCACATGTTCTGATTTGGATGCACACATGCCCATGCATAGGCATGCACTGTGCCCCTGCCTGCTGGGAGTTGTTGAAGGCCACAGGGGAGGGTTGTGGACAGGGCACAAGGGAGGGGAGCAGAGGCTTCCTGTGAGGGCCTTGCCAGAGGCAAAGGAAGCAGAGTCATTCCTGCGCAAGGCTGTCCCAACCCTATCCCGGCCCTCTGGGGGTCAGAGATGCCAGTTGAAATCAGATTTTCCACTGAGAGCCTGGTCTTTGAAAATTAATGTTTCTCTCAGCTGGGAGCATCCTCACTATAGACTCTTATGCCACAGAGGGTCCTCGATGCAGGTCCAGGGAGGGTCACCCTGCAGAATGTGATGCCAGGGTGGGGCCTCACTGCAGGCTGGCACTCCAGGGACGGTCCTCACTGCAGGGCAGGACCCTGGGGAAGGTCATCCCTGCAGCATGTGATGCCCCCGGTAGTCACTGCAGAATGTGATACCAGGGAGTGTTCTCAGGCATCGTGGAGGATGGTTTCCTAGGCGATGGTGCTTGCTGGGTGGGAGGGACCAGCTCAGGACACTGATTGGAGGGTTATAGCCGCTGAGAAACTTGGGAAGCTGGAGGGCAACTCTGGCCCTGGAGCTGACCTCTACCCTCTGTCTCTACCACTGGGGGACTATGGCAGTCCAAGTTGAGTGGCCCCTCAGCCATCAGGCTGGGCACATATTTTCCAGCTGGGGCAATGGAAGCCCATTAACTCATAAATATTTATGTCCACTATTCTGTGACAGGTCCCATGGAGGCCATAGATGAGTAAGACATGGGCCTATGGCCCTAGGGAGAACTACTAGTGAGAAAGACTCTGTAGTTTCGGTGGGGTGTGGAAGCTCTGCTGCAGGATCGCTCTTGCTGCTGGGGACACCATACCATGCCCCACTCTGGCCTGTCCCTGAGTAAGCATCATGCTGCTGCTGCAAAACTGTCTTTATATTGCATTGATATGCACCAACGTGCACAACTGGCGGACAAGACTCCAGGTCCCAGAAGTGGTTATTTTGGAAGAGTCCACTGATGTCATTTAATTGTACATAATCAATTGAAATGTGGTCATCTCAGCAGACCAGAGTTAGCCCTGACATCTCATCTGAGCCTTTTCACAATGTTTGGATAGTATTTTGGTACTATATTGAGCCCTGGTTTTCAGAACTATATTATGGTGAATTCTGTTCTGGAACCTACTAGAAAGCATTGGCAATGTCCTTCTACCAAGAAGGGAAAGTGGGACTCAGTGGGACTCTGTGTCTGCTCCAGGCCTGGGCAGAGGGGAGCCCCGTCCTTTGGAGAGGAGACTTGATACAAACAAATGTCTCCCTCCCCAAACCATTAACAGTCATATCCTCAACAATTTCCTAAATACTTTGCAGCTTGCAAAGCCTTTTTGTCAATGTTTATTTCAGCTAATCTTCACAACAGCCTTGAGTATGAGTAGACATTATTGTTCAGTTCATTTTATAGATGAGGCAACTGAAGATCAAGAATGTTGGCTGATTCAATCAAGGTGACTCAGCCAGGGAGCACGAGAGCTGGCATTTGAACTTGTGAGGCTCATGCTCAGAGCTCCACAAGCTTCCCTTGCCTTGTCACCGACTTGCCTCAGCCTAGATATCACTTCTTCAGGGAGCGCGTTGTGACCTCCACATTAGGTCGCCTTTCCATGATTCTCATTAAATGGCACCAGGTCTTTTAAATTCATGCTGTTTGTCACTGTGGTCATCTACTGATCTTGTGATGACTTGGTTTAATGCCTGATTTCCTCCCTAAACTGTGACCGCCCTGGGGAAAGGATCTGGTCTCTCTTGTCCAATGCTGTGTATTACAGTGGAGCATAGTGTCTGGAACATTGAGAGCACTCAGGAAATATTTGTGTAATGAGTGATGGTAGCCTGCTCTTCTCTGAACTTCAGTGTCTCTAACAGTGGAACAAGGTGGTTGGACTTCCTGAGGGTCCTTCTAAATCTTTTATGCTGTCACCAAGAGGGTCTCTCTAACTTAGCACTTTATGAAGAAGATACCGAAATTCTCTGAGGTTAATTAAATGTACCCAGTGGCATGAACCAATCTTAATGTGAGCCAATTTTGCAATTGCAGTCTAGATTTCTTACAGTGTATCCATTAGTTTTTGCTGCATAACAAACACCTCAAAACTTAGTGGCTTAAAACAACAAATGTTTATTTACTTAATGATTCAGTAGGTCCGCAATTTGACTGGTTTCAGCTGGGCGGTTGTTCTGGCCTTGCCTAGGATCACTTTAGCAGCAGCAATACACTGCCAGATCAGCCGTGGGCTGGTTGGTATGGGAGGCTCGCCTCTGCTCCACATGGTCTCTCAGCCTCTAGCGGGCTAGCTCCAGGTTGTTCACGTGGTAGGAGAAGGATTCCCACAGCAGCAAGAGCAGAAGTTGCAAGATTTCTTGAGGCCTAGGCTTGAAATAAATACACATCTATTTCCAACACATTCTATTTGTCAAAGCCAGTCACAGGACCAGCCTAGATTCAAGGAATGGAGAAATAGCCTCTACCACTTGATGGGAAAGGCTGTAAAGTATTGTGGCCTTTTTCAAACTACCACATGTGGGAAACAAATAGGATATGATTCATGCTGATTTTATTTGAAAAATAACTTAGACTTTTCTGGTACATACAGCTCGTACCGCTCAGTGGGACCCTACTGGCTTCTAGTCTTTAATGATGAAAGTCCTATATATTTCCTTCCTGTCTTTTCCCTGGAGTGCTTCTTGAACTCACACCACACACACACACACACACACACACATACACACACACACACACACACACACACACACACACACACACACACACACAAAAAAAAAAAAACCACACACACACACATACTCTCACACCACACACACAAATACCCTCTCATCAACTTCAGGAATTGTATTGTCCCAATTACTGGATTAAGGATTGACATAAACATTTGGGTAAAATGAAGCTCTCATAGCCACTAGAGGATTTAGAGGATAAACACTCTAAATGGCATAAAATACGTTTTATAAATACAGTTAAATACAAGGTTTACCCAATCAGCAAATGTTTATTGGGCACCTGTTATATGCAAGGCTCTGAATATGAGTGGAAGCCATTTATGGAAAACATTTGCTTCCCGAACATCCGATCGATTTTTTTTTTGTTGTTGTTTTTTTGAGACATAGTCTCACTTTGTCACCGAGGCTGGAGTGCAGTGGCCCGATCTTGGCTCACTGTGACCTCCAACTCCCGGGTTCAAGTGATTCTCCTGCCTCAGCCTCCTGAGTATCTGAGATTACAGGTGCCCACCAGCACACCTGGCTGGTGTGTGTGTGTGTGTGTTTGTGTTTAGTAGAGACAGGGTTTCACCGTGTTGGCCAGGCTGGTCTTGAACTCTTGACCTCAAGTGATCCACCCACCTAGGCCTCCCAAAGTGCTGGGATTACAGATGTGAGTCACTACGCCTGGCCCAGAACATTCAAATCATTACAAACCTGCTTTATAATGTAACACTTCTCCTGAAACGCCACCTTCTTTACTTAGAAACGGCAGCTGAGACAGAGGCTCCCTAGGGTATGTATTAGCTGACTGTCCCTTTTTGAAAACTTTCACAGCAGGCCTGTGGGCTTGAAGTTTCTTTTGCAAATGCATGCTCCATTGTCTGGTTTTTGCAAGTCTCCACAGAAATTTTGGCATAGCTGCTTTAGCTTCTACAAATGATCACTACTCCCTCTGCCTCCGTGGACCTTGGATTACCTTTTACCAGACTTGCCAGGGTGGTCTGAAAATGAGATCTAATTCTCAGACAGGGCTGTATCCCTGTCAGCAGCTTCAGAGGGTAGTTGACCTGGTAGAGGTCAGTTCTTCCCATTCGAGAGCAGACTCTGTCCAGGAGTTACAGGAATGGATATTTCCTGGTTATGTGACCCAGGAAGAGTCTCCTCCTTCCTGGGATGAGGCGAGGAGGAAAGGGAGTGGGCTTGGGACTCAGCAAACCTGGATTCAAATTCCAGCTCCTCCATGCCACAGCATGGGCCGGATTTCCTTATGCAAGTGACAGCAGCTTCCTATCAAATGGGAGGAGTAGCGGCTACCTCCTAGAGTGTCATCAGAAGTAAATGAGGTGTGTGTGTTATGGATTCTGTTGCTGCCTCACCAGAGTCCTGCTCATCATTCAGCTGCTGTGAGTGTTGGCTGCTAACTATTCACAGCTACTCCTTCTTTGGAAAATTGGAACTGTGAACTCGGGAGATAATGTAAGGGGAAGTCTAGAGACTGATATCCTTATCTCAAGGAGAGACCAACTTTGCAACTCCTCATGGGCTCCAGCTAATCCAGCCAGACTCCAGCTGAGGCCAGATCCTGACAGCGCTCCTCCCCTGTCCTTTCCTGCCTCCCTTCCCCCCTTCTTCCGAGAGTCCTCCTCCATCAAACCACTTTCACAGGCGCCCCCCTCTCAGGCTCTACTTCAGAGGAAGCTAAACTAAGAGTATGTAAAGCACCAGCGTTTGGAAAAACCAGCTATGACTTATTTTTATTTTCATTACCATTAATGATGCTTTGGTCACACAAGAGCCTCTGGTCACCTCTTGTGCTCATTTACAACTTGGTGTTT